CTGGCGGAATTGTCAACCTAAGATAGTTTAGGATATATAACGTTATAATTTGAACACACGTCTCAATAATCGATCAATGTATGTTAGTGAGCACATATTCGCCAATATTGTATCAGCTAATAACTGACAACGACATGTTACTTCCGTGTGGATTCTGTCACACATATCCAAAATGCAATTCGTAAGACATATTGGTTCACTTCTGAAAAGACTAAACGTGACATTGTAAGTGTCACGAGGCTCATATCTTTTAATCAACAATTATTCAAATACAGTACAGACTCGAATTAAAACACTAAAGTAGCACATTCATTCGTCATTTTCTCCGTTGAAATATCACTAAAACATCTCCAACACGGGAATCGAACCCATGGCAGATGAATGGAAATCATCTATGTTACCACTACACCAGTTGGATCTTAAAAAATTCTAAAATGTACAAATTTATAATTGGTCTACTGTGCGAGATCTCACGCAATAAAAATAAGATCTAAAAAAGATGCGGCCAAACATCACAAAATAAAATATCGAGCAGAAAATCAACTTCCGTATAAAAATTGGAGATGTTACCGATTGTTGATTCTGGTTAGACGCAATGAGACTGGCGAAAGTGCAAGATCTGAGGGCCTTGTCACCGCATAATGCAAAATATATATAAAAATGGATGTTTTTGTTGAGGTCGACATACCGGAAAGTGCGCATATATTTTTTTATCATTCAAAATTGTCCGAATGCGAAGTGTCACCTGTGCCCTACAGTCTTGAATGGGATGTCAGTTCACTTTCCCTTGGTAGATACCTAAGCAATTCTGTCGATATATAGTTTGCACTCGGCACTTTTCACAATGTTGGACCAACTTTTTACTAAAAAGGCACCAGCTACAAGACGCACGCACGACATGTCAGTACTAAGTATAATGTTTTTTAATGGTCGTGCTGTCACTACGACCCCATCACTCATATCACATAGTTTGCATGAAGTGTCACAGGAATGGTTTGCGTGGAGAGAATACCACAACTTAAGCTAACGGAACTTGAGGATTTGCTTGTGGCAACTTATTACTGGTTGGTAACGATACCAACCGATAATGCATTGACTACTGTACTCTTCTACACGCGATATCCTTCACATAGACCAGGCAAAATACCTTTATAAATAATAAAACTAACAAATTCAACCATAACAATTTACATTTAAAATTGCCGAAGCCAAGTATCGATCTTGGTACCTTTCGATCTTCAGTCGAATGCTCTCCCATCTGAGCTACTTCGGTTAGGTGAATGCTACATTTTCCATATATAATTAACTATATTCTAAATTTAACATTAACTTATACGATTCGTGTACATACAAGGATACGATTTTGTGATTTATTTTGGAAGCATATGCGATTCACATATATACAAGGATAAAGATTTTGTATTCCGAATTCGTTGAAAAGGGGGTCTTGACAATTTTGTGGCGAGGGATTTAATGTATATAAGCACTTTGTCCAATCAATCGTACGAATATTCGCATGCTGATTACGTGTTATCTGAGAAATAGTAATCTCTGCATATTGCGTTGAAAACGCCTGTCGGAAAGCTTGATTTTAGAACCTGAATAAAAATCTGTCGAAGAAACCCCTAAACCCCTAAACCCCTAGTGCTGATTACTTGTTATCTGAAAAATAGTATTCTCTGTATATATGCGTTGAACCCCCCTTGCTCGGAAAGCTCGACTTTAAAACCTGAATAAAAATCTGCCGAAGCCAAGTATCGATCTTGGTGCCTTTCGATCTTCAGTCGAATGCTCTCCCATCTGAGCTACTTCGGATATTTATTAAAATCTACATTAATGTATATATATTATTAAATAAATAGTTTTTATTATACCTCGTTTCTATCCATGATCTAAAGTGGTACACAGTATTCTACGCCGATCTATCCTTGTACTGTACTATCCTTGTTATCCTTGGACTGCTCGAACCTTAATCGGTCCACTAAAAACACATTTCAGAAGGCGGTGTGTTTTTTTGCGCTGCTGTTAATCATAACTCATAAATAAATCCACCATCGCCTTATATTTCAAACCATTAAGAGGCAAGTAATTCACATACATATTTACATATCATTAACGGACATCTGTGTTTTGTATATCCTCGTGTACAATTTTTTTCCATGTAAATTATACGAATATGTGTTCGAAGGATATAACACGTCTGTACATAAATGCATAAAACGGTCGGCTGATCACGTCGTAAAATTACAGTTCCTCTCCTTTCTCATTCGCAAAACTATTGACTTGACTTCACGCTTTATTTAGTTTCCCATAGAACTATGAGTACGTATGGTATTTTATCCCAATGAACAACACAGCTAAATCTGCAACTCGATAATCATTATAGTCTGTATTACTTCCGACCTATGGCGGTATTGCCAAATAAATCGAGTGGATGTCTGTGATGCTACTCGTAGTTTATATTGCAGATTGTAATCATAGTATATATGCGGCGAATCAATGAATTAATCCATCGGACCATTTGTCAATTGTGGAAGGACTTTGCATGTGTCGAGAACTTCAACATTCTAGTTTTAGACAATATACGCAGAACACCAGTAGACTATTTACTAGCGGAGTGGCCGAATGATTTTCGAGATAACAGAATAAACATAGAGGTGAAAGCAGAACGCTTGCGCAGACCAATGCTTCGATACAGGAACACTACAAGAGAGCCCAGCAATCTGTCACTTCTCAAAGCCCTACGTTGTTCGTCACTGGTCATGTATTGATAGCAATTAGAAGCACATATAGTCATTAATGCTCAAATCAAGCCTGATGTGAATAGTGAACACTTGTCTGACATATCAGAGAAGGCCTTCTACGAAGTAGCAGGATACCTTATAAGACAAGCAACAACTGCGCAAACTGATCGCATTCAAACAAGTCGCAAGAGAGTCATAAATGCATCCTCTCGAGACCAATGAGGACGACGTCCAATGCTTAACACACCAAGGGTGGTCACGCCAGGGAGTGGCCCACGAGAATGGGGACAATAAGGTGCAGGTCAACACATAGTACTTCCCATATGACAGGCTATTAACTAGCCAATTCAATGAGATCCAAGACCATGCCCCTACGGCGGTGTAAACCCTTCACCCCGTATGTTCAGAAAGTGTCTCAAGAATGAAGGAAGCAACCACAATATGCTTTAGCTCGTGCAGCACGGCAATCTCGACCTGTCCATATAGATATATTAACCATCACTAATGGAAGCAAGATGCAGCAGATGGATGAAGAAATCTATAGAATACCCTGGCGGGCGGAAGCTAGCATTTTAAACGGTAGACATTGTGCGTGCACATATAGATGAATAAAAATTGTTAACAAATACAAATCATATTGCTTACACACCTTATTCTTTCATTCCTAAACAACGAGTCTAAATTTTGCACATAGACATGCAAATCATTGACAACACGTACAATGCATTAGTCGGTTCAGGATCCCAATGCTAGTGCGTGGACCGAAGTGTAGTGACTGAACTATAGTTGTCAGTCGACGCACAACCAGGCTGCATACAATAACTCAGTCTGACACACGAGTACAACGTTCAGGCTCAACAAAACCCGTCTATCTGCTTTGAGGTGCTCGACCTCCCCAACAAAAAAGTCGCCTATACTATACTTTTAGCCATGAACATTTACCACAATTTAAGGGCATCTATCTAGCAGGTATAATTAACCCACTCGTACCAGTTGATGCAAAATGATAATATCTTTTTACATCGCATGAATATGACCTGGAACATGAGCAGGAAGGTTTTCGATAATCATAATCGGACTTATCGTACCAGGATGAACTGATCCCACTTGGTGTACTCTGCAGTCTGGCAGGGACAGTAAAAGTACCGAACGAACAGCTCATTATCAAACAAGTGAGACAGGCTAAGATACTATTCGTATTGCACAAGTATATACCACAAACGAAGTAGAACATTCATGTGTGGGTGTGTGGTGAACACATATATAAAAGAGAACACCCAACACAAGTGAATATACCACTACAATCAACAGGCGAGTATGACCAGATAGGCAAACTGAAAAAGCATGTTAAAGAAAGTACTTCACAGCATACAAGGTGCAAACCTGTTTCCAAACCTGAACCTAACAGGAGGGATCCATCATTTTCTTGTACGTGGAAATAGCAGACACTTCTAATTTTCATATAGAGGGGGTACAATACTCTTTAGTCATCATTCAAATTACATTTGCTGATCGAATAATTTCAGCGCAGTGCTCTTTTAAGTCGAACGACACTTGCTGACCGCACAACTTCAACGACTGGTGACATTGAAGGCGTACAAGTATACGTGCATGACATAGTCATCGCTGGCCTCGCAGAATGAGAACGCAGGAGAAGTGCTGAACCACAACAAATGTGCATCCATAGGCAAAACAACTAACACATTGTGCATCGAAGTCACAGCACAAGGGCTCAAAAATAGTTGCTACTGATTGTATTGGGTGATAACTCTTCTCATATACCCTTCAATGTATTGGTTTGCATACTCTTTCTGACGTGACCATATGTGACCGACTAATTGTGGTTTGTTCATCGGTTCTTCAACTGTGTAGTATCCCACCGTGTGGTATTGCGCTACGAGAGTATATCTGTTATCGTACGCAACTATGTCTATATCTGTTGATTCTCCGGTAGTTTGTACAGCCGAGACTTTTATTGCTGAGAGTGTAAGTTTTATATGAGCTATGAAATCAGCGGCAATCATTGCAAGAGCACTATCTTCAATCATGTGCGAACATGGGCTTTCCGCAAGCCATACAGACGGGCTGGCCAATTCACATAATATGGGAATGACATACTCTCGAACACATCGAGCAAGCACCGTCACATCACCTGGTGTCCATACCATACCAGCAAAAGGTGAGAGCAAGTGAGCGACCACACAGGACCTCATACCACTATTAAGAGAACTCGTTGACCACAATCCAGGCAATTGGTGCGCACGACTTCCGTTCATTTAAATAAGCCATAATATACGTTCGAAGAATGTAGAAGAGTTGATCAGACCAAGTATATACTATTGTGGCACATTACAAAGAGAAAATGGCCGCGAATACCAAAAAAAGGTACATGCCTTTCCATGAATGGGACATTGTGATGGTTGGCTATCAAGATGAATGAATAAAATGACAGCTCCGTATGGAAGACCCTGCAAAACAGTAAGCAAGGAGGGCAACCTATGTTTTGTCTGTAACCTTGATGAAACTAGATACCTGTAATCTTCTAACCCAGTCAGTGATGAATTGTTTGGACTAGCAAAGAAGGCCATGCCTTGAAAAAATCCATCGCAACCAACTGAAGAGACAGTTGGGTTCGTTATTAGACAATCGGCCATTCAGCGTACTTCCTCCAGCATTAAAGATAGATTTATAAATAT